GATTAACAAGAGAAGGATTGTCATAATCATCATAAAGCAAGAACCATCTTGTTGAATGTTATTTCTTATACTGAGTATGAAAATATCATAGATAGAGACTCACTAAGTCTATATTTGACTCTCTCATAATTACTTATGAAGGAAATGATCAAGTCAAGGAGACCAAGGCTCTGACCTTGATTTAGAAGTATGAAGCCTTCAAGATGGAGGATGATGAAATAGTTGATACTATGTTCTCAAGGTTTCAAACTTTAGTTGTAGGACTGAGAGTTCTGAACAAAGGTTATTCTACATTAGATCACTTGAAGGAGATTATCAGAAGCTAGCAATCGAAATGGAGGCCTGTGGTAATTGCGCTAAAGCTTTGCAAAGGATCTGAACAACATTTCTCTAGAAGAACTAGTGAGTTCTCTGAGAAATCATGAGATTGAGCTAGAAGAGGATGAACCTCAAAAGAGAGGGAAATATGTTACGCTCAAGTCTATCAAAAGATTTGAGAAGTCCAAAGCTCTTCAAGATGAAGAGATTGAGGATTCAGAAGACGATTCTGGTGAAGATGAAGATGAGTTGTCACTACTGTCCAGAAGAGTTAACCGTCTCTGGAAGAAAAATCAAGGAAATAGGTTCAGAAGTACTAGAAAGGCAAGTGGTCGCTTCGAGTCTAATTCTGATCGAATGAAGTCTAGTGGCAAATAAGTCACTTGTTATGAGTTCAATAAGCCAGGACACTACATAAATGATTGCCTTGAACTTCAGAAGGACAAGCCCAAGAAGAAATCTCTCAAGAGCAAGAAGAAAGGGTTGATGGCAACATGGGATGATTATGATTCTTCAGAATACGGCTCAGAAGAATATCGTACCAACATATCGCTGACGTCTCTTGTTAGAATCTATGATGAAAATATCCCTCCATAAGATGAAGCAGAATCTGATTCAGACATATAAGAGATATTCTCCAAAGAGGTATTTTCTGAACTTACTCATTCTGAATTAAATTCTTCTTTAATTGAAATTTTGGAAAAATATGAGTTACTCAATATTGAATTCAAGGAACTTAAAAAGTCACGGGAATTCACATCTTCTGAAAAAAAATCAAGCTTAAGGAAGATCTCTCCATTTTAAATAAAGAAAACTTTTTTCTTAAAGTTGAGAACTCTGTCCTCAAAGGCAGGAGAATTCTTCCAGAAGCTTCTGGGAGTACTGGTGGTATCATTAATAAATATGACAAAGCTTTCCATAAGTTCCTAGCTATAAGCATAAGGAGAAGCGTGATGGCTTCTATGATCTATAGCGTGAGCAAGAATGAGACAAACGGTGTTGGTTATAACTCCTATGACGAATCTAATTCTTATAAGGAAGAGAAACCCAATACCCTTCATTTCCATTTTGTCTCTGTTGGGTTTGTGCCTAAAGATAAAGGAAAAGAAAAAGAGAAATATGTTTCTAAACCTAAGTTAAAACATTCTATATTTAACTCCTGTAAATATGATTATTCTACTGCTAAAATGAACAAGCATAAATGAGATTTTGGGTATTAACAGATTCAAGGGGTGTTGATTAGCTTTTCTAAATTTGCATCCTATAGTGATTATCCTGTATGAATCGTTGTATCAAAATACATGGTTTTGTCATCATCAAAAAAGGGGAGATTATAAGAACAAAATTGGTTCTACATTTGGCCTTATGTTTTGATGATAACTTTACATGTCATCTTTTGCTAAACAAGTTATGACTCTGGTAAGAAGGTGTGTGACATCACCAGACTATGAACTAAACACTTTGGAAGAATACCTTTGGTGTGTTACAAGTTAAGTCAAGATTCTGGAATGCTTCTTATGTAACGGTTCTAAGGAACATTAGTACAAGAGCTTCTGATAGTGACTTATACAAGGAAGATTTGGAGACCTTCTAAAGCTTTACTTTTGTTATTCTAAGTTCTGAAGATGCTAAAGACAAGTTTATGATGAACAAGTTCTGAAGATCTGAAGACACTCTTCTGAAGACCAAGTGCTGAAGACTCTGAAGGCAAGGGTTCTCTAAACAAGCTCTGAAGACTCAAGGACTTAGGCTCTGAAGATACAAGATTTTGATCCTACTACAACATGCTTCATCAACATACAAATTATAAGTCTCTGAAGATGCAGAAGATAAATATCAAAACTATGGGTTGCGTGTGATGGTGAGTATAAAAGTACAAAGTATTTTGTGACCCCTACTCTAATAGGGTGACGTCGGGACAAACCTTTTGTACTTGTTATCTACCATTTCCACCATGACTATTAGGAAAAAATAATTGTATTTGTGTTCCCTATTCTACCCTTAAACGAATCTCTTTTTCATCTATAAAAGGAGGACTTAGAAAATTTTGAAATCAATGAATCAGTTCTACAAAACTACACCAAACTGTTGCACAAACTCTTTTGAGAAATTCTTTGTATAGTTTTGTAAATAAGAAATGAGCTTTTATTTATATCTTGTTATCAACACTTTTGTGTTGTTGTACTTAAACATTGTGTAATCTGTGTGTGTATAAGCATTCTTGTATACACATCTTTGTAAATCAATAGTTATTGATAGGTTCCTTGAGAGACTTTGTGAGTCTGGATTCTCAAGAAGACTTTGGCTGCGATCATAGTAGATTTGCAATAAGAATCGACAGACTTGTTAGGGGTGCCAATAAGGTTGATTAGACTTATTGTGGTTGTCTGTAATCGGTTGATTATAGTGAATTAAGTCCCTGTGTATAAGGCAAATTACCTTGTGGAGTAGACTGGAGTAACTTAGTTAACAGTGAACCAGGATAAAAATAATTGTGTTCATCTATTATTTATTCACTCGTTATCTTTGTGTTTTAAGTTGCGAAAAATATTATATTTGGTGCAACACAATTCAAACCTCCATTTTCTTGTGTTTCTCGCACCTTCAGTCACACCTTGAGAAACCAATTATAAATTGGATTCTGATTATGAGGGTGAGGATGTGGATTCTACAACCTTCAAACAGTTGGTTAGTTCTCTGGAGTATCTGTGTAATACCAGACCTGATATTTGCTATGCAGTTGGAATAGTTAGTAGGTTCATGAATAAACCTAAGTGGTCCAATTACCAAGATGCTGTCAGGATTCTAAGGTATATTAAGGGAACTCTGAAGTATGGAGTGCTATTCCCTTCTGGAAGAAAGACTAACTCAGAGCTGACGAGTTACTCAAACTCTGATTGGTGTGGAGATAAAGTTGACAAGAGAAGTACTTCTGGATATTTGTTTAAGTTTCCGGGAGGTCCTATTTCTTGGTGTTCTAAGAAGCAATCTGTTGTTGCACTGTCAACGTGTAAAGTTGAGTACATTGTAGGTGTTGTAGCTGCATGTCAAGCTATTTGGATTTTGAATCTACTGCAGGATCTCAAGATCAAGGTAGACAAGCCGCTAAAGCTGACGATTTATAACTAGTCTGCAATCAATCTTGTCAAGAATCCAATGTTGTATGAGAGAAGCAAGCATATTGAGACAAAGTATCATTTTCTGAGAAGTCAAGTCTAGAATGGAGTACTAGAAGTTATGCACTATAACACCCAAGAGCAACTGACAAATGTTCTGACAAAGGTGATCAAGACAAACTAATTTCTCTATTTAAGAGATGAAATTAGTGTTGTTAGTTTTGATTAGGAAATCCTAAATTAAGGGATGACATTGAAGGATAATTTAATATTTTAGTATGTTGCCCATGTGACCCTAGTATATGTGTATAAATAGACTAGTAGTAGCTGTCATATCTTTATCTTTTACAACTTTTATAACCGTTATTGCAGAACAATAAATATATTCTCTCATTTTTCTTGTTTTTCATCACCTTGTGCACTAACATGTACTGTCACGGCTAGAATTTCATTATAATTTCACATATATTTGACAACAATAAAGTTTATTCATAAAAGTATTTAACTTTTTTTATCACGTATTTTAAACAAAACTAAAATTATAACTCTGCAAAACTAATTTACTATTTACGTAACGAATTATAAGTAAATTTTTTTTTTAATATATTTGATAATTAATAAGTAAAATTATCTTTTTTGATATATTTAATAATTAATGTATCTAATCTATATATGAACAAAATACATTAATTATTAAATATAAAAAAAAGTTAAATTTATTTATAATTCGTTACAGAATGAATATTAAATAAAGATTCTTGTTTACGAATAATTATAATAAACAAATATAAAAGACAATTAGTTATTATATAGTATCCCATCGGTCTCATAATATATATTCTTTTTCTTATTTTTATTTATTTCATATTATCTGTTCTTTTAAAATATTAATGTGATATTTATTATTTATTTCTATTAATTTATCTTGTATTTTTTTAATTCATATTAGTACTTTACTATTTATTATTTATTAAATTATTTTAATAAATGAAATTTATTTTATTATTAAAATTAATATAGTTAATCATTACTTTAAAAAATATAAATTTTTAAAAAATAACAGTTATTATGTGACAGAAGGAGTATCAATTTGAGGAAAACAAAAATTTAATAAAAACTACTATTATCAACTCAAGAACTTTTTATACAACTATAGCAACTAAATATTTTATCAAAGAAAATTGATCACTAATTAATAAATAATAATTGAGTCAAGTCAAATAAAAGAAAAAGACAAGATAATAAATATAATCCCAAATAAATAATAAAATATTTCCACGCCTTTTCACTCCTCCCATAAAGCAGCAAATACCATTCTCTTTCTCTCCATCTCTCTCTCCGCGTTTCTCTTTTTCTCTCTCTAAACCGTTTCCCCACAAACGCACACTCCTCACACTCTACTATACTCACTCCCTTTTTTCCTTCTACACCCCCACTCTCACTCTCTCCATAACCGTCTCTCTCGTTTTATTCTATGTATCTATGAAACTTCCCTATATTTCACTATTTGCTTCTTAATACACATTCTCTCTCTTTCTCTCTCTAGTTTTTTATTCTCTCCCTGTAATGGAAAAGAAACAGGGTTTCTTCTCTGCACTCAAAGACGAAGTAGTTCGCGGCCTTTCACCTTCCCGTTCTCGTTCCCGGTCCACCAGTCCCGCCCGAACCGGTTCACCCATGTCCGGTCTATTCAACCGCAAGAAACATCACGCGAACCATAACCCGGACGCAAGATCCGGGGGTTTAAGGCCGTTAGGCGAGACCCTAACGCCGTTAATTGAAGGACCCGATTCAGAAAACGGGGATCTAAAGCGAATCGGGTCGGGTCTCGGTAACTGGATGAAGGATCAACTCTCTCGTGCTCCGTCGGTTTCGTATAAGAGGTCTGATCTGAGACTCCTGCTCGGTGTAATGGCTGCTCCATTGGCTCCGTTTCATGTTTGCTCCACTGACCCGCTTCCTCATCTCAGCATCAAGGATACTCCAATCGTGAGTTTCGCTGTTTGTTTCTTCAATTTTTTCTGTTTATTCAGTTTCTAGCTTGAAATTTTAATGTTGTAGTTTCTAGTTTAAGCTTTTGTTGTATGCATGTAAGGTGTTTGATGAAATGTGTTTCGTTGTTTCGATATTGGATGCTGTTATACTAATTTTTGAGAGAGAAAACAAGGAAGATGTTAAAGCTGTTAAATAGATAGTGCTGGAATATAAAATTTTATTAAATTTCTGATGTTTTTTTTGTTTGTTGATGGGTACTGTTGCAGGAAACATCGTCTGCTCAGTACATATTGCAGCAGTACATAGCGGCATCTGGGGGGCAGAAATTGCAGAGTTCGATACGAAATGCATATGCTATGGGGAAGGTTAAAATGGTAGCGTCTGAATTTGAAACTGCGACTAGGGTGGTTAAGAATCGGAATGCTTCTAGGTGTGCGGAGTCTGGTGGATTTGTGCTATGGCAGATGAATCCTGATATGTGGTATGTGGAGCTTTCGGTTGGGGGAAGCAAGGTTCATGCTGGATGCAATGGGAAGCTTGTTTGGAGGCATACTCCTTGGCTTGGTGCTCACACGGCAAAGGGACCTGTGAGGCCTTTGCGCCGTGCACTTCAGGTTAATATTTCTGAATTTGTACCTTTTTAGTTCAATTTTTAGCATGTTGTTTTCTTTGTCACTCTAATTTTAGATCTGTTTATATTTGTTAATTTAGGGTCTTGATCCTAGAACCACTGCCAGCATGTTTGCTGATGCTAGATGCATTGGAGAGAAGAATATCAATGGAGAGGATTGCTTCATACTTAAGCTCTGTACTGATCCTGAAACATTGAAGGCTCGGAGCGAGGGTCCAGCTGAGATTATAAGACATGTCTTATTTGGCTACTTTAGCCAGAAAACTGGACTACTGGTTCACATTGAGGATTCTCATCTGACCCGCATCCAATCTAATGGAGGTGATGCGGTTTATTGGGAAACCACGATCAATTCATTCCTTGATGATTACAGGCCTGTGGAGGGGATCATGATTGCACACTCAGGGCATTCTGTGGTGACTCTTTTCAGGTTTGGGGAGATGGCCATGAGCCATACCAAAACGAAAATGGAAGAAGCCTGGACAATCGAAGAGGTTGCATTCAATGTTCCAGGTCTCTCGTTAGATTGCTTCATTCCCCCAGCCGATTTGAAGACAGGTTCTGTCAGTGAAGCTTGTGAACTTCCTCAGGATGAAAGAGGAAAGAACTCACTTGGAGGAGTACATCGGACCAAAGTTGTTGCACTGGAGAAATCACACGAGTGCAGCATTGACAAGATGATGTGGAAGATGGAAATCTAATGCAATTGTTCATAGCAGCAGTCACTAGATTTTGACTACTAACGTTTAGATTTTAGAGTAGGGGTTTCATTTGGTTCTTTGTGGAAGTTTTTGTTTATGCCTCTATATATAATCTGTAAATAGAGCATAAAAATTCACAGGTGTTATGCAGACCTGAGTGAATATTTATACTCGATGCAGAAACCAACAATGGCGTTGGAGCTCGGTTTCCATTTCGGAATAGAGCAAAATAGAGGTTAAATTTTTAGTTTACCTTCCATAAATGAGGGAAGGTGAATGAAGCTTTGGTATAGTAGAGAGCCATTAAACTTTTGTTACTTAGTAACTTATCTAAGTTCAGTGTCGGTGGTAGTAATATTAAAGAGACTGCCACTGACCAAAGCCAGTTTGACTCTAACAGCTTCTATGCGGTGTAGAAGTTCTTTCTGTGTTTGAAAATTTAATGTAACGAGGGTGTTTTTGATACTGAGACAAATACTCAGTTTTCATTGATGTACTGGCCCAACATCTCTAATATCAGTAATATCTTTCCTTTTGTGTTTTGATTCTTTTTTTGTCAATTCTCCTGAGAATGGAGCTGTCGGGTAATGAATGCTCTTGAATAATGTTATCTTTTGATTTGTTCTTTTTACTATTTTTTCCCATGGAGTTGAAGAATTGTGCGAAATCTAAGTATTTACCATTTTAACCCTATTAGAACTTTAGGAAAGTTGATAATTCAATTGAGTATTAATGAAACTTGTGATCTCTATTTGTATCAATGTAATAAAAACTGAATTGAATAGTAGTTGAATTGTAGACATTGTCGGTTTATAGTGCAACTAGCTGAACTAGTCCGGTTTTAAAATATTGCTATGTGCATTGTTAAGAATGAAGAAATAATTTTGTAGGATGAAAATTGTTTTCAATTATACGTGAATGTGAATGTTTATGTCATGTATTATCCGAATGTATTCGAAATGTGAATATAAATAGTGAGTGACTTGATAGTAAAAATCTGATAGCAGGTGGTTAATTGAATTTTAAGTATTTTAAGTCGTCTCTGGTATCATGTTAAAAATGTATAATTGAGTCAAATTCATTCTTACAAAAACTAATTTGTATGGGGAGGATTGTTTCACTTATAAACACATTCAAGTTATACATTATATTATATGATATAAGACTATTATATATTGTTTGTTCTCTAATGAGTATTATATAATATACATGTCTCAAGTGTGAGATACTCTAAGAGTTGATTGTGCTTTCTTAAAAGTAGTTTGTCTCCTCAAATGCACGTGTATAAACTTCCCTCTTTTACCAGTCTTGGTCAAATGAGTATATGTAAGAGTAAAATATGAGGCTAATTGGGAATATAACTTTATTAAAAAAAAGTACTACTAATGTAGTGAATGGAAGCCAGAAGGAATTGAGAATGAATGAATGAATAAATAAAGTAAAACTGGTGTAGTATGTGATGAAAGCACATGTCTGTGAAAGCGTGATTATGGAATGGCCACGAGGTTCGATGCCTCAAAACTCCCAAGTCATGTAACCACACACACACACCTTCGTTTACCTTTCTTGATCATTCATCGCAAATACCATTATATTTTTCTCACTAAATTCATCTATTTTAAAATCCTTCAACTTCTTCTTCTTCCTTTATGGGGTTAGTTGGGTCATGTTGTGTATGTGCATTTATATTGTTAGGCCCGTTTTAGATGCCATGTGAATTACGTTGTCTATAGTGATTTGATAGTTATTTTTAAACCTACCCTAAGGATAGTAATCATCAAATCTTTGCAATGTGGTATTTCAAAGTGACATTGTCCATAAAAAAAAATTTGAAAAAAATAGATTGATAGCTGCTTGACCTTTGTCTTACTTAAATTTTGACTCTATCCATCCCAATCATGCTTGATTCAAGTCCAGGTAGCTTTCTTTTCATCTATTTTACTATTTTAAGATGTTAATGTAATTAATTCATTGATGTAGACAATGCAACCAATTTTTGTCCAAGACCTTATAACCTATAACTACACCATCTTTATTTATTTTCTAAGGAAAAATGTACATTCTAAAACTGTAAATTTTGAAAAAGAAATGGTGAATTCTCTAAACCTAGAGGTGTTAATGGGATAGAATTGAATGTGACGTGGTAGGACGGAGACGGGGACGGAGTATGTATTTATTTCTCTATCTCTACTCTTAAATCTATTTTTTATATTTATTCGTGATTCTTATCAAGAGAGAATTTTGTCTCCATCTTTATCTCTTTGAATTTTCATAAAAATCCATAAATATAATAAATTATAAATAAATATTTGTTTAATCAAATTATTCGTACTATAAAATTCAAAAGCTAATAAAAATATAAAGTTGATCCTTTACTATAATTCTATCTTTATGCTATTTTTTAGACTCTTAATATTACAATTCACGTTAACGGAATCTACATTAACGAATGTGAATTAATATTTCCAGACCTAACATTCCCATGTAAATCTAGTGTATTAACATAATCACTTTGACCAATACTTCTAATCCTCTTGAATTTTGATAGGTAATTTGCAAATATTTGAATTTGTAACATATATTTAATAAGTTTATATGCCAACAATAATGAAATTAATCCCATTAATAACATTTTTTTCTCTCTAGAGATTTATAACATTGTTTATCGTTGTTAGAAGAACAATAACTAATGATAGAAGAGAAAAGAGACAATAAATCATAAGATAATGAACACGATTTTTATTTACGTATTTTTGACCAAGTGTGCATATATATATATATATATATATATATGTGACTATAAAACAACTATAATTTTATATTATTTGTTGAATTATGATTTATAATGTTACAAGTAGGAAAAGCTGGTCAAATCTGTTAGACTCACCCTTTTAATCTACCATTTTTAATATTTTACCATACACTCCAATGATTATCCCTTACCCCACCCTTACAATTTACTTGACTTGACCATTATGCCCTTGTATAAATAGTTAGAGAATTTTGTTCATTAGAATGTACTGTAATAGTTGCAATGAAGTAATTCGGTTCACAAAAATTCCTCAAATACATTCAAGTAAGTAATGCAGTCCATATTATTTTTTAAGGAATTTCTCATATTTGGTAGTAGTAACTTTCATTATTGAAAATTCAAAAATATTCTTCGCATATGCATTTGTGAATTCATATATCAGAGATGTTCGAAAGTGCATATGCGAAGACACATTTTTTTGCACGTTTTAATATTTAAAAGTTGGATTTTAAAATATTGAGGGGATTTCGCATGCGAAACATCTTGAAAGGTGAATTTAGATGTGCACATGTGAAATTTTCCTTTCTATACTAGAGAGCTGCATGGTCACCTATTTCAACTATTTCACTCGTTTTCTTTTCCTCTAACAAAAACCCTCAACAAACTTCAATCAATCTCAATGAATTTTTCGTCTCAAAATCAAGTTTCAAGTGTTTGAGTTTAGCAAAGTGAATAATGAAAGCTACAATTTGATGTAAATTTTTATCCCTTCATCATACATTAGCGGCATTGAAGCTGTTTTATTGAAAAAGAAAACAACGTCACTTTGCATAAGCACCTGCGAAGGCCACCTGCCAAATCCGCAAGTGCACATTCGAATAAATGTCTGTTACAGAACCAGAATTCTGTTTTAACAGAATTCATGTTTTTTTAACACGTTAGGTATGGTGCACTCTGGCAACATTGTCAAAGCTATCGTAAAGGTTCTGGATAAGGTCAATGAAGATGATAAGCCGAATGAGGTGAAAGAAGTTGATAAAACGATTGGTATTGTGATAGACCATGGACAAAAATTTCCAAATGATAAAACTTTCACCACTCGTCAACATATGCTTGAATGGATTCGAATGGAAGCTAGCAAACTTGGGTTTGGCATTGCGATTGAAAGGTCCGACAATGGGACTAGTAATCAGCAACCATTTGTTGTGATGACATGCGAGAGAAGTGGAAAATTTGTTCCAAAAATTCACAAGATAAAACATGATGACACGAGATCGAGGAAATGTGGGTGTCTGTTTAAATTATACGCATATTATAGGGTGGATGATTTATGGCGGTTTAATACCATGTCTGGTATGGATAATCATGCGTTGGACACCAAGTTACACGAGCATCAAATTATATGTCGGCTTAATCCAATAGAGAAGGAATTTATTTTTGAATTGTTGTTGATCAAAGTTGCGCCGAGAAACATACTTGTCGGTTTGAAACGGAATAGAGTGAAATGTGTTTCAAATATCAAGTCGGTTTATAATTATCGTTATAAACAACACATTGCACAAAGAGGTCAGAGGTCTAAAATGCAACATTTATTGAAATGTTTGGATGATAACCACTACTTTTCTAGGCACAGAGTTTGTGAGGACAACGTAAGTATTCGTGACATTTTTTGGATGCATCTGGAAAGTATCAATATGTTCAACACATTTCCAACCGTTCTTATGATTGATTCGACGTACAAGACCAACAAGTATAGGCTCGCGCTTCTAGAAATTGTTGGTGTCACCTCTATAGACAAGACATTTTCGGTTGGATTTGGTTTATAAGAAAGTGAGAAAGAAGACAACGTCACTTGGGCGTTGGGTATTTGTAAGACTTTGTTGAAAGATCCAAAAAATATGCCTACGGTAATTGTTACCGACCGAAATAACACCCTTATGAATGCAGTTGGGATTGTGTTTCCTTCGTCAACTGCATTACTTTGTCGGTATCATATAAAAAAATGTGAGAGCACTGAAGAAGTGAAAAACACAAGAAGGGGGGTTGAATTGAAACTTAAAAATCAAAAGCAATAGACACAATGATTTTTATCCTGGTTCTCTTGATCTCAAACTACTCCAGTCCATCCGCCAAAGTGATTTTGCCTCTCTCCAACGAGGACTTAATTCACTAATCAAACTGATTACAATTCTACTTTGACAACTGCCAAAGTCTTCTTGAGTACAACCACAACCCGGTTTATCTCAAG